ATGGGTTTGACAGGATGCGTTGGTGTATTGGGCATCCAATTGCCCCGGCAGTCAAATCAAGTCTGAGCTAACGAAGTGATCAAAAGCCGGACCCACCTAACGTCTGTGTGATGAGGTAACAGCTCCTGCTCCTAAGGATAGCCTTCCACATCCTAAACACGCACCACCACAACTGATAGAAGCAAACCCACGCCAGGGATAGGGTGTCCAAAACCAGACAGGGGAAGGCAGAGCAGACAGAGATAGCATTCCCTGGAAAAGCAGCGGGCAGGACGCTAGAATTTGTACAGACTGCTCACTTGCAGAACTGTGGCTAAATGGATTTGGTTTTACAAAAGGGGAAGTAAACAAAAAGCAAGGAGCTCTGATTTTTCTACCTTCAGAACAACCCTAGTGTCTGCAAAGTGGGCAAACGCTCGCACCAGCAGCACCTGCCTGCTGTAGGTTTCTAATCCGCCCCCCCAAAGAAAGAGTCCAAGTAGGACAGTTTTGCAAACGACCAGTTCAAAGCACTTCCCTAAAGAAACTCTTTTTTTTTTTTTCTCCCCGCTGTCTTTTCATGCACACAAGCTTTCCGAGCTCATCATCTGGAGACAGCCTTTCACCCCTGTGCTGGATGGCCACTGATAAAATCTGCCCTCGGTGAGCCAAAGACAGGAACGACATGGCTGTTGTGGGCCGCGTTACATTCTGCTCTGCTTTGGGCTTTTTCCGATTTCATGCCCCGAGGTTATCCTCCAGTTATTGTTCAGTGCTCCCGAGGAAGCCCAGCATCTCAGGCAGCAGCAAGAGGCTTCTGCTCCAGATGGCACCCACACCCTGGGGACCCAAAACCACCCTGTTTTCCCCCAAACCCTGCCAGCCCTGGGGGCCCCCAGGCAGGGCTGCAGGTCCCACAAGGTGGCACTCGGCCACAGAACGAGGGACAGCAGCTTGACAACCCCGTGGCAACTTCTGGGCAGAGCCTCGCGAAGACTTGTCCCATATTTCCAATATTTTCACTTGCTGAGGGTTTTTTCTCAGTTGAGCCAACAGGACAACACTCGGGAAAAGCTCAGGGGAGAGCGAGGCTGGAAAATGATGCGTGGCAAAAATCCTGGGGGTCTTTGCTTTGAGAAAGCGTAGCACGGCTCTGCATGCAGGACAAGGCTTGTCCTTGTGCCTCTATACCAGAAACAGGCGTTTCTGTCACCTACATGAGAATCACCGTAAGCAGGCCTAGATATACGCCCTGCTAAACTGCAATTTCTCTGTGCTTTCTACATTCTTTGATGATTGTTGCATTTTTTAATAAAAAAAAAATACTTACAGTCACGCTGCAGCTACCTCAGACTGGGTGGCCCAGCTCAGTGGGTGCTTTTAACCTTCATCTCTGCTCCCTTAATTCCCTGGGCAATAGGGAATAACTCCATACAGGAGATATTCCCCCTAACAGGGAATAAAACCAATACCTCCTTGGTTTCCTCCCACATGTTGGATGATGAAGGTCGAACCGCCTGCACCAAAGAGCTCAGACACCCCTGAAATGCCAGAGGAGACAAAAAGCTCTCCCTCCGTGCTCTAACTTCTTGCTGCGGAGCAAGGCCTGGGGCCACATGCTCAACAGGAAGGATAAAACTAAATATTGAGTGGCTGCTTGATACACGAGCGCTGTTCATCCTGTGTGCTTTGGGAAGCAGAGGCTGGGAGGGGGGGGAAGCAAAGCTAAAAACCCAAAGCCCCGTTGCTGACTGTGAACACAGCAGAGGGTCGCATCCTGAGTGCCAAGTGCCCAACTTTGCAGCTTGTTCAGCAGCCTTTTTACCCTGTTTCTTACTTCTTGCAGAATTTGTATAAAAATTGGTTGAGAGCGAGCCCAGCGACCAGCCAAGTGAGGGGCAGATTTCAAAATGCAGATTTACTCCAGGGCTTCTGGGGCTTATCACAAAGAAGCGCACAGAGCCAACATCATTTACTCACATCAAACTGCAGAACAGAAATCTGTATGGCAAGACGTTTTATCCTCCTGTTAATCCAGCTAAAGCTAACAAGTCATTCTGAATAAACGTGGTGGGAATGAGGAGAGAGGGTCAGCTAAGCAAATGGACCTACACTGCTTCCCCCAGACCTCCACCACAGTCACACCTCCTCCTGCCCAGCACCTGAAACTCAGCACGAACACGGCCAAGGCTCGGTCTGGCCGAGCTTTCACTCCCCTGAAGAACTGTGAGGTTCCCAAGACAGGAGATGCACGGTGGTTTTCTGCTCCCTGTTTTGCCACAGCTTCCATCACCTTAAGTGCAAAGCTCTGCCTGAACATGAACTACTGGATCAGGTTCATATTTTGTAAATATTATTGTTATTTTATGGACCTTGGCATCAACGAGAGCAAAGATAGAGGAGCTAGAATACGACACAATGGTTTTGAGCGTGGCTGTTATTTGTCCATTTTTTAAAAAGCAGGGAGGGAGGAGGAAAAGGATAGTTTAGAATTGTGGTTAAACACATTTTTTTCTCTAGAGGCATTTAGGTTTTTGCCTTTGCTTTGTTTATTCTTCTTTGGGACTAAGTAAAGTCATATTTTTAAACATAGGACATCCCCCCTTTCCTTTTTAAATACTGAAATTCTAAGAGTCACTCTAGATAGGGCTCAGGCTGCTCTGACTGACTGGAGCCAAATGCATCTTTCAGAGTGTTTTCTTGTGGCCTAAGGAAGTATTTATTTTTTCAGTCATTCCACTTGGATGTACCTTTGTTCATTTTCCAGAGGTGGTTCTGTTTCATCTTTTTCTTTTTTCTTTTAAATTACACCGTGCACTAGCATTCGTAGTTCAGGCCTCGGTTCTGTTATGAATACTTCAAGCACATGAATGATCCTCAAAATCCAGATATTTAAAATGTGACCAGCACTTTAGGATCTTACTGAATCAGCACTTAATATTTCCTTAATTCTCTTTTGGGGATTTACCGCCTTTTAACTTTTCTTAAAAGCGGATGCACAAGCCAGCTCCGACACACACAAAACCAAGGGCACATTTTCACCAAAGCATGTCTGGTTCTGACTGCATGAGCAGCAGAGACAAGGGCTTTGGCTACAAACACAGCAGTGCCCCTGTCCCCGGGATGGACTCTGCCAAGGGCTGGAAGGCGCAGGGCAGCTAATCCCGAGCTACATTCACGGGGGCAGTGGTGGAAACAACTTCTGGACACAGCAAAGGAAAAAAAGCCTCCAAAAATACTTTAGGATAGATTTTTTTTTTCCCCCAGGCTATGGCTAAGAAGTGTTTCCGAACACGAGAAGCCACAGCGAGGGTCCCAGAGGTTTCGGGCACCCCGTGCAGAGGCAGCGTGGAGGATCTGCGGGCCGTAGCCGGAGGTCGGGAGTGCATCGCCCAGGCGAGTGGCCAGGGCACGGAGGGGCTGCACTGGGGCAGCCGGCATCTGGGAAGAAGTAACGCAAAGCCTGACAGCTCGGAGCCGGCCAGATGTTTTCATCATTACGGAAAAAATCTGCTGGTGCCTCTTTGCCCAGAGAAACGCTGGAGGAGGAAATATCCTCTTGAGCTCTGATCGGGGCTGCGGATTAAAAACTGCAAGGGGCCAGGGACAGAAAAAAAAAAAAAAAGAAAAAAAAAAAGGAAAAAAAAAAAAAACAGGAAGGAAGGATCTTTTCTGCCTCTGGCTCTAATATTTAACACGAAGATGCCCCAGAAGGCTGCGTTGCCTCCTCGGGGATTTTTTCCCAAGCTCGCTGCCCTGGAGGGCTGCAGAGACAGGGCCTGAACGGGGCCCCTGGGTGCCCCCCCCGGGTGTTCCCGTCCCTGGGGCTGCAGCAGGTGCTGCCCCGGGGCTGCAGGCAGGGTTTGGGGAGCACGGCTGTCCTGCCCGCTTCCAAAACTGGCACTGAAGGGGGCCGCTGGCTCCCCGGGATTCGCCCTTCCCATCGGATCCCCCCTTCCCAAAAGCCCCATCCCCTGCCGGCTCCCCTGGCTAATTTTAGCTTCCAGACGCGAGGGTCGGTGAGATTAAAATCCGCGAGTGCCCCCCGGGGAGCAAAGCGTGCGAAACCGTCAGAAAACACCGGCAATCAAAACTAAAATTCTGCGATTTCTTTACGAAATAAACCCCATCCCCAAAATCAATTCACGGGAGAGTTTTGCCGTTTCGTGCGTTTCATTTTGATATGTTTAGTCCTGTTTTTTAATGGAAAATCAGGGATTGCGGCGTTGTGCTGCGGGGCTGCACGGGGAGCCTGCCGCCCGCAGCGAGCCCTGCCCTCGGCCGCTGGGCTAATTCCTTGTTAATTAGCTATGAGGGAATTGGAGAGAGGGAGGCGGAAAAAAACAGATGGGTTTGGCTATGCGACAGTAAATATTGGTAAATACGCGGTTGGTAAATAGATTGTATGCGAGTAGCATCGGAAATTTAAAAAGAAATTTGCGAAGATGTAACAAACCTGGAGATTTTATACATATTTTTAAAAAAATAAAAATCTAAAGAAGTTTTACAAGATTTTCGTTTTTCTCGCGCTCTCGAAATACGGCGTATTTTATCTCCAGCGATTGCATGTTCCTCGGGCTGACAAAACCCCTATCCCGCCAGCCCGTTTGCCACTCTCTGTCTCCCATCTACCTTATTTTTGCCCAGGCTGCTTCTCAACCCTTCCTCTCCCTGCAGCCCAAGCCGCAGCAGGACTCGGAGCTTCGCTTTTACGGCTCTTTGGAGAGGGGCAGAGCCGGGATCCTCCGCTCCGGAGACACCGACCGCCCCGGAGCTGCGAAAGCGCCCCACGGATTATTTCCCCCGAGTCGGGAGAAACAGCGGCTGGAGGGCGAGGGCCTGATCCTGCCCTTGCCCCTATTCCTGCTCCCGGGAGCAGAAATCCCACAGCCGAGCCCCGCCGAGCAGGTGCGGGGAGCCCCTTTTTTGCCCCTTTTCCCCTTTTATCAAACTCCCCGGTGGGCAAGGGAGGGAAAGCAAAATGAAATGTAAAGCAGAAAATAAAAGCAGGGACGAGCGTCCCAGGTTAGCGTGAGTTTATTTCGTTTTTATTTAACATATTTTTTTTAATTCACACTTTAATTCACTCCTGCACTCCGCAGGAGCCCCCGGGGGCGGGTGGGGACGGCGCAGGGCACCGGAGAGCCCCGGCCCGGTCGTGTCCCCCCCCGGGGCAGCTCAGCCGTGCCCAGTAAGGACCGGGGAAGCCTTCCCGGTGCTGGGACAAGGAGGAAGAGCAGAGCCCCCGAGCCCGGTGCCGGCCCCTCGCAGGGGGAAGCGGTGCTCGGCGGGGACAGGGACCCCCCCCGCCCCGGCGCTTGCCCTTTCGGCAGCCGATTTCACGCCTCCGGTTGTGGGTCACAGGCTGGGCCCTCGCAGGACCCGAGGGGACATCGCCGGGAGACGCCGGAGCGGAGGTGGGGGTCAGGGCTCTGTAATTTTCCCCGCCCGGCTCCAGCCTCCCCCCTCCCCGGCTCAGCGCAGGGCAGGGGCTCCAGGCTGCACCCCGGATGGGGAGGTAAAAATCCCCTTTAGGCCAAACACAGCCCAAACACTAAATCACATTAAATGTGTCCCTCTCTTTTTCCTTCCCCACCTCCGACCCGTGCCTCCCCGCTTCCAGGCTGTGCACCAAGAGCAGTCCCCGGCCCCGGGGGGGGATCGGAGCAGCCCCCCCGGCGTGCGAAGCGCGCACCCAAGCCGGCTGGGATTTGCACGGCTAGCAGGAAGCATCCGAGCAGTCAGACCTTGATCTCCTCTGGAAAGCGCCGTGAGGACAGACGAGCTGCAACCCCCCGAAATGCTCCCGGCCGGGAGGCTGCCCCCCTTCCTGGGAACAGCTCCGCCGGGGGCAGGCGGGTAGGGGCAGGCTGCGGGGGTCGGGGCAGGCTCCGGGGGCAGCCCGCGATGTCCTTCGTTTTAAAACGGCTTTGACCATCACCAGCCACCGGCGCATCCCGCATCCAGCCGTTGTTGCGTTCGTGAAGTCTCTTCGTTTGGTTTTCCTGCCCCTAAAATAACCGCACTGCTTCTGCCCTGCTTGCGTTCCCCCGGGAAACGTACCCAGCGCTTTTGTAATTAACTGTAATTAAGCTTTTCCCCGAGCGCAGGTGAGCGGCGCGTACCGGAGGCAGCACTAAAACCGCGATCGCCGCTCAGGAGCTGGGAAGGGAAGGACGGCGAAATCTCAGATCCCCTCTTTCACCAGCGAACCCGGCCCGGGCAGAAAGGTTAGAGGCGAGGTAAAAGCAGAGCCTTGGATTTATCTGACGGGCTCCCAGCCTTCAGCCGGGGGGTGAAAGCCCACCTCCAGCGCCCGCGGGGCAGGAGCCAGCCTAATTGTCAGATTCCAGGCACGGAGCCCAGCGAGGGCAGCAGGGGAAAAGCCACGGGCACATTTTGCTGTCCCGAAGTCCCCCTGCCCCGGCCGCCCTGCCCGGGTCAGCGGCGGAGGCAGAGGAGCGACCACCGAGCCACCCCCCAGCGCTGCTCCCGCGGGGGCGCCTACCAAAACCCCACCAGAGCGCGCTGCTTTTGGTCTATTTTTTGCAGAAATGGCCCCGAAAAGCGGGGATGAAGAAGCCGGGCGGCTCTGCGGTGCTTCCCGGCCGGGTGCCGCAGCCTCCCGGAGCGCACAGCAGCAGCCCGGGGATGCCGCAGCGAGCCCCGGCCCCTCGCCAAGGGCCCCTCATCGCTGCTCTGGGCGTCAAGGTCAAAATTCTCTCTCTCTTTTTTTTTTTTTTTCTTTTTCCTCCGTGCTCCATCCGCTGGATGAAGCGCTGGAGGCCGGGGCCGCTCTCCTCGCCAGCAGCTCGGCGGGGAAAAGCGCGCTTCGTTACGGCAAAAAAAAAAAAAACGAGCAAAAATAATAATAATTAAAAAAAAAAATCAGAGCGAGCAGAGGAGGCGATTTTAGCCGCGGCAGAGCGAAGCGCCTGGACAGCTCCAAAGCCGCATTTCCCCGCAGAAAGGCGGAGGGGCGAAGCGAGCCCTTCCCCGAGCCGGGGCAGCCCCGGGGGATGCCGAGGTCCCAGCGGCTCCCAGGGGGGAACTGGGAGATTGGCACCAGGTCGCGCAACGAAACCCTAATAGGCTATTTCGGGACTACTGGCTCTTAACAAATCTATAGCACCTGAAGTGTTAGCACTCAATTAGTGACAAGGTTTCAAAACCCGGCGTTTACCGGCGAGGTATAAACAGAGTCCTGGGAGATAGCCGGGAATTAGAGCGGGAGGGGGCCCTGGACGTCTTAACCGGCTGGCATTAAGAGGAAAACTTTTTAAAAGGCCCCATCTCGCTCTCTAAACAGTCCGAGGTGTCGAAAGCTCGGGGGGAGGGAGGATGTGCTCTCCGGGACTAATTGCGTGGATTTTTTGTTTGTTTTCAGCGAGAAAAGGTCTCTCTCTATATCCATATACATGTATTTAAACGAATTTCATTTAACGAGCGCGGAAAGAAGCGACGAGGGCTGTGGAAATCAAAGGGGCGCGGGGGCCAGGCTCAGTCCGGAGCGATCCAAAGCGACCCCAAAGCACCGGTGCGGGACAGCTCGGGGGGCCGGGCACCGGTGATGCCCGGCGCCCCCCGGAATCCCGGGACCCTCCTGATGAGGGCCAGGAGGTCCCTTGAGTGCCAGCCCCGGAGTCGAGGTTCCTGCAGGGTGCGGGGCCATAAAGGACGGCGGTGCGAGGTGCCCGCAGCCAGCCCCGGCTGCCGGGGCGAGCCTCGGCCCCTCCGCTCCGCCACGAAAACGGAGCTCGGATCAGCGAGCTGGAGAGCACCGGGGAGAGGGGCAGGGGGGAAGCGGGTGGCGAGCCCCGACCCGGAAAGTCCGTGAGCTGCTGTGTGTCAGGGGCTTATTCATCAATCAGCCGGACACAGAGCAGACCTGGCCTCTCTTTGCGGAGTGTTTGCTTTTTCACCAATTATTGCGGCCCTGCAGCTCTTTTTGTTGATACAGTAGTTCTAAAAAGTGCTAATGTTCATTTATCAGGGGGCCGAGGCCGGGACTCCCACTAGTTGTGATTCTTCCAAAAATATAAACACGCAGAGAAGGGCTAAGGCTAAAGCCCCCATTTGTTTCTAAACTGCAGTATTAAAAGTGATGCATTGTTGAAGATAAAGCGGAGATAACGCTGTCTGTCTCCAATGAATGTCTCCCCGCCGCATTAATGACATTCCAAATGATAGCTGCGGCTTATCGTTCAATTAATCACTTCCACCCTCTGCAGCCGGGCCCACATCGATCGGGAGCCGCCGGCTGATTTGGGGCTGGAGGAAGCCCTCCAGGCCTCGCTTCGGGGCTGTTCGGTGCCCGGCGGCTCTCTCCTCCTCTTCCTCCCCGGGGACGCCCCGGTGGGGATGCGCTGCGGGCCGGGGGCAGCCGGGGCCGGACCCCGCTGGGGTCGGAGCCGCTTCCCTCGGGGCTCAGCAGGTTGGGGAAGGGGCTGTGGGGCAGGCAGGGCCTCCGCGCCCCACTCGGTGAGCTCCGCAACCGAGCCGGGACGGGCGTTTTGCCTCCCCAGCACCTCGGCTGGACCCGAGTTTCTCAGTACCTAAAAAGGGCGGACCTGCAGCCGCCGCTCGGGCTTTTAGGGGAGGTGGAGGCCGCTTCGTTATTTGGGTATTTACCGAGCCTATCCCAATAAACTCGTAGAGTAACGGAAAGGAGGCAATGGGACCGGGAAAGCGGCCGCGCTGTGCACCACGAAGCGGACTGGGGCTGAGCGGGGCTGCCGAGGCACACGGGAGGCTGTGCCGAGGCTGCCTCCACCTTCCCAGGGCGCTTCTCCCCTTTTCCTACAGCCGAGGAAAATCCCCCCCGAGCTGTCCCGGCCTCTTCGGGGCTCGTTCCCCAGCGAAGCCCGGGGGAAGCGCAGCCGCCAGGAGCGGGACGGCCGCTGTGCCGCCTCCCTCCCCCGATAGCTAGCAATATTTCGGTAAATATTTTCGATAAATAGCGAAAATCCGGATCTGATTCACGACCAAACCGCTCCCAGGACGGCAGCAGGAGGCTGCAATCGCTGCTGCAGCCCCGAGCCCCAAAGTCCTGGTCCCGAACTCCCAGCATCGCCCGAAAAAAAATAAAATAAAAAAAAATCCTGAACCATATTTCCCCAAAACACAAAACCTCTCCCTGGGGAGAGAAGCAGGGGAAAAACTGCTCAGGGAGGGCTGCTGCGGGCAGGTGCCTGTTTTTTTTTCCCCGCCTCGGAAAATATTTTCTCCCTTGAGCGGGAGGAGGACGCTTTGCGGGCAGGAGCACGGGGACAAATCCTACAAATTGCCCCTCGGCGGCTGCCTGCGAGCCGCAGCCTCCCCGGCAGGGCACGGCTGAGGGCTCCCCAACTCACCGCATCCACGGGGGCTCCTCCGCTCGCTCCCCGGCCTCCGCTCCCCCTGCCCCGCAGGGCTCGGAGCCTGCCGGAGCCGGGCAGCCCGCACCAAAGAAGTCGTTCAAGGGGGATTTTTTTTTTTTCCTCCCACCCCTAAGCCAAGAAAGAGCCGTAACGCCCCCGGCTGCTGGGGACACGGCGAGGTTTGCTGCTCCCTCGGCCCCTGGCCCCGTGTTTTCAAATGCCGGCACAAACAGCGTTTTTTTTAAAAATAAGGTTGGTTTGGGGCTGAAAGCTTTACGGACAACGGCGGAAAAAAACCACCCCTCGTTCCGACCTCCAGAGCCCGGGGGTCGCTCTCTATCAGCTGGCTTTTGCAGGCGGGTGAACCCTAAGCACGGATTTCCCCTTCGCACAACAGTGACCTCCCGTTTTCTGGTTCCTGCGCTCGGATATTGCAGAATGCTAAAAACGAAACCTCCGCTCCTTGGCTTAAAAAAAAAAAAATGAAATCAGCACATATTTGGTTGATGGTTTCCTCCCGGCCTGTTTATTTAATCTGACTGTATGATAGATGGCATCAGATAGGGACTTTGTACACATTAGGCCATTCTGGATTTTTTTTTTTTTTCTAAATGGATCAACAAACTCGGCGGGGAAAGCTGGATAAATACAGTGCCGCCCCTTTAAACGAGCGGGGATGTTTTGGAGATGTATTACTATATTAGGTGACATGCAACTTTGCATCTCTCATACCATCACCGCAATGTTGGCCAATAGAAAGCTAAAGTCCCCCAAAAAGTGCCTAGTCCCTCCTTCCAATCCCTTATGGTCCGCTCCTACCTGCCTGCAGTGCACAAGGCGAGGCTGCTGGCGGGGATGCTATGTGCCCCCTCGGCGAGCTCCACCGCCGCTCCACCTCGGCCGCTCCTCGCCTCCTCTTCCATGACCCCGGGCTCCGGCCGCTGCCCCTCTCTCCTCTGCCATGTTTCCTAGCCCTGTGACGACGACCCCTTTCTCGGTCAAGGATATTTTGAACCTGGAGCAGCACCAGAGCGGCCTGGCCCCCATGGAGCTGCCGTCGCCCTCCTGCATGCTGGCCGCCTTCAAGCAGGAGGCGTTCGGCCCCGAGCCTCCCGCACTGCCCGACCTGCGGGAGGAGCTGCCCGAGCCTCCCCCGGCCAAAGCGGCCTTCCCCAGCCCTTACTACGTGAAGAGCTACGCGGAGATGGACTCGGCCAAGGACCCCAAGGCGGATAAGAAAGGTAAAGGCGGGCGGCGAGGCGCTGCTGGCGAGCGGGGCTGCGGGGATGGAGCGGGGAGGCTGGGGAGGCACCGGCACCGGCTGCCCGGCCGAGGGGCTCGGGGGAGGCAAAGCGAGGGGAGAAGCATCTCCACCCATATCCCCCCATATCCCCCTCCAGACATCCCCCCGGCCCTGCAGCCCCTCGGAAGGGACAGATCCCCGGCCCCCCGACAGCCAAGCTCGCTGCCAAAGCAGGAGGTGAAGGCACAATGTCACATGCGAGGCCTCCTTTGTGTCCAAAGAGCAATTAGGTGACAAGTTTTATTGCTAATTAATAGCTCTGCTGAGCCTGCCTCCGCGCCCGGGGTTCCATGTAAAGGGCACACGTGCGAGAAAGCCAAGCCGTGGCAGAGACGAGCGTGACTAAAATCGGCGCGGAGCCTCCCTGTTTACAACATAATAATAACGAGAATAACAATAATAAAGAAGACAAATTGCTTAGAGAGGTACTTGAGCGAGCAGGACTGAGACAGCGCCGCTGCCACAAGAGCGAGCCAGCAGCAGTGGGGCCGGGGGGAAGAGACAGCGCTGCGGGGTCTTCCTCAGTGCACGCGGGTTGTTTAACCCCACTTCTCTTCTCTTCTTTTTTTTTTTTTTTTTAATTATTTTTCCCCCCCTTCCCTCTTTTTCCTTTGCCTGTTTAATTTGCTGCAGAGCTGTGCTCCCTGCACAAGAGCCTGGAGCAGGAGAAGAGAGACCTGGACGATCCCGAGCGCCCCAGACAGCGGAAGAGGAGGAAACCTCGCGTCCTCTTTTCCCAGGCCCAAGTCTACGAACTGGAGAGAAGGTTCAAGCAGCAGAAGTATCTCTCGGCTCCCGAAAGAGACCATCTAGCCAACGTCCTAAAGCTCACCTCCACCCAGGTGAAAATTTGGTTCCAGAATAGAAGGTATAAATGCAAAAGGCAGAGACAGGATCAGACCCTCGAGATGGTGGGGATCCCGCCGCCCCGGCGGATAGCCGTGCCGGTGCTGGTGCGGGACGGGAAGCCCTGCCTGGGGGAGTCTTCACCCTACAGCTCGCCCTACAACGTCAGCATTAACCCCTATAGCTACAACGCCTACCCCGCGTACCCCAACTACAACAGCCCGGCCTGCAACGCCAACTACAACTGCAACTACCCCTCCGTGCAGCCCATGCAGCCCTCGGCGGCCAGCAACAACTTCATGAACTTCAGCGTGGGGGACTTGAATTCGGTGCAGACACCCATCCCGCAGGGGAACGCGGGCATCTCCACGTTGCACGGGATCCGAGCCTGGTAGGGCGGCCCCACAGGGGAACCCCACAACCTGGGGGGGGCCTCGGCCGTGCCTGGGAGCCGCTCTCGGGACACTTGGGGGCTGCGGGGGGACGAGGACGGGTTGCTGGAGCATCCCGCTGGAGCTCAGGAGCCTGGCACCCATCTCTGTGGGGAGGCCTCCGGTGTTTGGAGCTGGCACTGGGGGGGCTGCTCCCACCCCCGGCCGTGCCGGACCCCTCTGGCTCCCCGCTTCCAGCGGGGTCTTTGCCCCATAGTTCTCCCCCTTCCTTCCTACAAAGCAGCCACTCATTTTGCTTGCCTCCTTCCCACTAACCGAACAACAGCGAGCCAAGCCCTACAACCCGTAATTATTATTATTATTTTTTACTCTTTTACTAATTATTATTGAGATCCACCTTTAAGTTTTGCACTTCCCATACGGTCACTGCTGTCCAGCCAGCTCAACGCCCCCCGGGCTGCCGCTCTCCAGGCTGCTGCTGGGGCGCATGGCCGAGGACAGCCCCCCTGGGGAACAAGGCCCCCCCAAACCCCCCGGTTCCTGTAGGGTTATGCACTAAAACCTCTGTTAGTCCCAAAATGCACTGTCCGCTCCTCGTCCCGCCACCTTTCCCTTTGCTGTAGCAGCTGACGGAGCTCAGCGAGTTGTCATTAAACAGAGTGGCTTTTCTTGCGCGTCCCCCGCCTTCATTGCACGGCCGAGGTCCCCTGGGGGCTCCCCCCCTTCCTGTAGCCCTCCCCAAATTTCGGAGATTGTTGCGTTGGTGAGTGCAAACTGTGCTTGCATTTTTAATGTCTTGTAAAAATTAATTTTCAACCTACTTTGGAAGCCCCAGCCTGGGCAGGACCGCTGTGCACGAGCCCCTTCCCCTCCTATCACCCCCCAGGCAGGGGTTGGGGCCAGCCCTGTCCCCACCACCCCATTTCCCAGCTGGGTCCCAGCGCTGGGAGGCTCTGGGGGGGCTGATTTCTTCCTCGCACAGAAAGGTAGTGCAAGGGGGGGTAAAACAGCCCAAACCCTAAACCACAGGGCTCGGGGGCTGCCGGAGGGGAAGGGCCCCCCACCTCTCTCCTGGCTCAGCCCCAGCCCCTCGCAGCCTTTACAGTAGTCGCTATCAAATGTCAATTATTGGGAGTGAGAAACAACAAACAGTGTAATTCGGCGCAGTCAAAACATCCTCTGAGTGTCTGAGATTGTCCGGCCCGGTGATAAGGCGATTAGGGAGAACCTGCATCCCCTCCTGTCCCGGCCCTATCGGCCCCATCAGTAAACAGGGATGGAGACAGGGTGGCTGTGGCCCTGGGACATGGGATGAAAGGCTGCTGGGGAATGGAAGCCTTCTGCAGCCTCTGTCCCTCCTTCCCCAAGGGACCAACCCCGCACCCCCCGAGGTGGGATGGCACAGATGAGGAGCTCCCACCTCCTCCTGGTGTCTGCAAGGGGCAGAGAAGTCCCGAGTGCTGCTCACAGAGCCCCTAATGCCATATGGGGCACAGCCACCTGTATGGGGCTGTGCAGAGGGGGGCCTTCTGTCCCCTCCGAGGCCAGCCTGCCTCAGGGACACTTACCCAGCAGAGGCAGGGGGACACTGGGCTTGTTACAGCCAAGGGGGCCAGAGCCCACCAGGCTGCAGGGTCCAAAGCACGGACACACTCTGCCCACCTCTGACCGTGCAGGAGCTGGGGCCAGCCCCAGAAGAAAAGGGTACTTCTGCATGAAACCTTTTGTGTCCTGGGATTGATGGCTGTATGTTAACTTTTGCCTTCTTCGCACACATTCTGTGGGTCGGAGGGACTCTCAGACTTCAGCAGGTGGCTGAGAGACAGCAGGGTAGCCAGAAAAAAGCCTGCTAATAGCCGAGGTGTCTGCCTTCCCGAGAGCCACAGGGAGAGAGCAGGAGGGAGCCAGGTTTAAATTCTGCCGCTGTGCTATGCTGTGGGGCACTGGCAGTTCTGTGCCTCAGTTTGCCTTATCTACAAGGCACGCACAGCGTTACTGCCTGGCCCAAGGCTGCTGGCATCGTCTGCGGTCAGAGCCTGCTGCTGCAGAGCTTGGCCAGGATCAGAGCTGACAGGGAGCCCCCAGGCGATGAGGACAAGTCCCGAGTTAACACGAGGGAAAGCATCGAGATCAGCTAAAATGTGACTCACTTCTTTCAGAGCCCTGGCCCTTTATTAAGTGGTCTATAGCACCCCTCTTGCTTCCACACACCCCAGACATCCCTTCCCTTCCTCACACATGGTCACTTCTTCAAATTTATTTCCCCCACTCCTATCTCAGCAGCACAGCTATCAGGGAACCCACTGCTGTTACTCCGTAAGGCAGTTCTGGACACCACTTTCGGGTCCAATTTCCAGGACTGCCCTGTGCTCGTTCTGACATGGGATGGACGCACAGCCCCTCACACGCTCCTCTCCTCCCCATGCTTCCCCATCCCTGCGGGGATTGCATCATGAGCAGATGCACGGCCAGATAAGATGGCCCTGGAACAGCAGCCGGAGCTTCGGAGCCAGTTCCCAACGCGAGGCAGGCAGAGGACAGAGCAGCAGCTGGCTGAAGCCGAGCACGGCACTGCAGCCCTGCTCTGGCAACAAGAGCAAGGTATGGTTAAAAACCTCTCCTTAGACGGATCTGGGGGAAGCTGGACAGAATTAATGCCATTAGGAATTAACCCCCAGCACGCTGATTTCAGCCACAGGGTGCTCACCATCTTCATGTGCTCAAGCACCCCACTGCTGCTAGTGCTGCTCTGCCAGGTCCTGCTCACCTCCTGCAAGAGCAGCCTCCGGAGCCGGTGTGGCCCACAGGGTTGAGCGTTGGAAAAAGGTTTCCCAGGAACTTTGAAGGCACCGAGGCTGTCGGCACACACCACAGCATGCCCTCACACAAGTCCTGTCCTCTCAACTGCTTACAAAAACTGAACGCGTCAAACCTGACTTGTCCCCGTCTGAGCCTGAAGGGCTCCAGCACTATAGGGCAACATCAAAAAAAATACGTGCTTAGAAAGCATCGTTCCAGAGAAAAGCACAGGGTATGAGCGTTTCCCTAGGGAGCCTGAAATCAGAGCTCCTCTCAGTGTTTTGGGGCATTTTAAGGGGTGAAGGACACAGGTTTCTAATGAGCTTTGTACCTGGATCTGATCTCAGTGCCCTTTCCTCAGCTTTTTTTGAATTGCATGGTCTGGCACTGGCATTTCCCCCTCCCCCTGTTCTAGGCCAGCTTTATTTAGAATGATTCAGTTCCCCCAATTCCATCCAAAGGTAACAGGAGTGCAGCTCAGCACCACTTCTCTTCAGACACACTGCGTACGGTGGGTTTACACAAACTATCTGGAATTCATACAACTTGTAAAGGAACCAAAATAACAAATAAACATGTCAGCTGCAAGGGACTGATACCAAATCCCTCGTCTCTGGCAGTTTTCTAGAAATTGAGGTAATTGTTTTTCCTAAATAATACCCCTACAATTCCTAGAGTGCATCTGTGGCCAGATATTCCTTAAATTCTGGGAGCTTTCACACCGAGTTACTCCGTGGAGTCACAAAACAAGGTTTGGTCCTGGCAGGAATTAGCCGAAGTGTGCTGGAGGAGCCCGGCAGGAAAACAACAGATCAACAGCCCTCTCTCCCCTGCCCCTAATTCATCTCACTGACAACAGTTTAGATCAATATCAGCAGTAAGTGATTTCTTGTTAACGGGGATTATTAAGAAGAATCAACACCTTTAAAACGCGATTCCTCATTGTCTCCAGAGTGAGAAAGGGAGACAGGGAGCTTTCAGACTGGAGGCTGCTCTTTCATTCCTGGGTGCTTGATTTACTACAATATGAGCTTCGTGCTACGTTTTTATGCAGAGAGAGAGAGGGAAACGGAGACTTCTCCCAACAGGAGGCCAAGCACTGGCAATACATTTGTGGAAGTTGATTAATTGAGGTTTAGCAAAGCGACACGGAATAAATTACTTGCAAATCATTACCTGTCTCCTGCAGTCATTTGTAACACTGCCTCTCCGGAGCACCGTTCACTAAGAAAGCTTCCTTCAGAGACAAGGCCTTCCCTAACTTGGTCCTAGTTCACTTCCACACCACAGGGGACTGGGGTGTTTTTTCCCCCTCTCTCAAAACACATTGCTTTGTTATTTTAGTACAAACGTCAATCCAGCCTCTAGCCATGGTCTCGTCATTACTGCTTCTTCCACTTCACAGGCCATGCATTGCCCCGCACTGATTTTTTTTTTCCTTTCTGGATGCCAACACAGGATTTTTAAGGATCTCAAAGTCCCCTCTCTTCCTTTCCCACTGTAGCTCACCTGTTAGTCCTGAGAAAGCACTGAGCAGAAGAGTATCACCAGGGGCACCAACTGAACTAGGCTGGTGTTGATTCTCACCACACTGAAGGTTGTACGGCTGTCCCTCAGCTAACCAACCAGCTTTAAAGCATCTCTACCACTGCCAGCACACTACTGCATATGCTTGCCCCAAACTGTTGCCTGAAATATGTATTGATTTCAGGCAGCCCACAGGCTCTAATAAAAGAAAAAAAAATAATAATAGATTAGCTTATTTGTGTAAAAGGATTGCTGGAACTGCAGATCACACACGAACAGTGCAAATGGAGCCCTGATGAATACGCTAAGATGCAGAATAAGACAAAAAATAAACTGTTTCCTGAACACAAGCAAAAGGAAAAGATGACAGAAACCCAGGAAGAGAGATGAGAATTGAGAAGAGCAAAGCAGGGCACGCTTAAACCAGCTCTCTGTGCTGAACGACTGATGCACTGACTCCACCAAGACCATAAAACAGTTGTTAAGTCATCCCTGCTTAAAATAACATTTGTTTGGTGTCAACAAAGCAGCACAGGCTAATGGCTAAAACACAGGTCTGCACGTCAGGGACCTGTGCTGCTTTCCCAGCTCCATTACAGGCGGAGGCATCCCATTTGCAATGGGGTCAGTGCAGGCAGACCCCTACACCTACACAAAGCGGGGGCCACACAAGCGCAGCGCTCATCCCGTGGTCTGCAGCGAGTGCTCGATGCCTGCCCAGTTTGATGTGCTGGAAAAAGAAGTTGTCCAAAATAAAAATCAACTTGCAAAGGGGCAGAATCTCTTAGCGGCCAAAGCAATTTTATTCCTTAGGTTTGGATAGCATTTATTGGTCTTGGGGAGACGTTCTGGAACTAAATCGCTATTTGTGGAGATGGCGAGGCTGAAGGAGAAACAGGCATGAATGATGCTACTGTAGAGTGGGTAAGGTCAAGAGTTAACAGGCCCAAGAAGGAAAAGTAAGTTTGTCCAGCACTTCAGATTCTATGAAATGCTCTATTATTTATTAGGAAACAAACAAATAAAAAAAAAAAAAACTTTTAAAAGAGTTTTGGTCCTGGAACCAAGGAATCTGGTTGTTTAAGCAGATGACTAATTTTCAGGGTTAAAAACACCTCCTCTCAGAAATATTTTATAGGTGTTCTGGATATTGGGACTAGGATTTGGTGCACTCTGCTGCTGCAAGAATATAACCAGAGTTTATTTTAGCACAGCAGACGTTTCCTAAATAGATTGCTTTGTCCTCCAGCATAGGCTTTGAATAAGTCACAGTACTGGCTCCTAGAAATTGTCCCCAGATCCCATCTTCCTGGCCAGGATTTTCTGTACCCCTTACTATCTGTGAGAAATAAAAGCTGCTTTCAGAGCAGCCAGTGGAGGTGCAGCACACAAACATGTGCAGCGCTGGCTGGCTGTCATCAAGAGAAGCCGTTAAAAAACAGGCCACCACCACCACCCCCAAGAAAAAGTGCTTCAGTCAAATAAGTAAGTTTTTTTTTTTATAATATTTTTAAGTAAAAAAAAAAAAAAAAAACTAGAACAAATTTGTACTGCCTGGCTTCAGCAAGTCAGATCTAATGATATCAATGGGATGATTTATGCTATTTCTGGGAAGGAAAACATAAATCTTGGTTGACTTGAGGTTCCGTGTGCTGCTTTATGCTTTGTGCAGTGTCAGCTGCCGCCTCCCTTACCACCACAGAGACGGGTCCAGATCCACCCCGCAAGCACACACACTTCACTTTATGGCCGTGGTTAATCCCAATGAAGGTTCTCATACCAGCACAGACAGCATGTGAGGCTCAGAGTGGAAGTAATGGACACGCTGACACCCGGCCGCATTTCTGGCATCCTCCTGTACTGAGGCTCTAGCATCCTGCTGCTGTTTGTTGGGAGGGTTAGAGGAGTTGTTAAACACCATACCCCAGAGCATGTATACCTGTTGTGTGCCCAGGAAATAATCCACACCCTGCACATCTGTGGGTATTGTAAGAGTCCTGTGCTGTCACCACGAAATGTGCAAAAACTCCACAGAGGGAATGCAGCTCCTCGCTGGCATCTTTATGGGCAGCCCCTTTAGAGCAATGCTGAAAAGTTGCTTTACTCACCCATAGTTCTTAAAACGGGAAAGCTGAATTGCTGCTCTAAAAAGAGATGTTCTGCAGCATCTCTCCCCCACTACTCACAGGCATCAGCACGCCTGTCTGGGACCTTGGGCTAATTTCTCCTTTTAGATGCACAAAAACAAATCCACAAGAGCTGCTGGGCTGCAGCACCTCAGGGAGCCAGGCCCGAGACACCAATTTAGAGCCCACCAGTATTTTTCATTGTGAATTTAAATTTAAATGACTTCACATAATGAGGCATTAGGACTAGAAGCCAAGTTTCCCTATTCATTCGTTAGCACTAACATGATAGCATGTCATTTTTATACACACAAGGATTATTCCCCAGGTAACAAGGTGGAAATGAGCACTTGATGCTTTTCCCTCAAAATAAGAGCACAGGAGAACTACATCTAGTGCAGCACACTGAGACAGGGATGTTTATAGGTTAATTTCCAATTATCTTTTTTTTGTTTCCCAACCACATTTCTAGTCCCATTGGTCTCAATATACTGGTTGTGAAAACACCGCGCTCTGCCCCTTTGATCAGCTAGTGAAAAGCCCTTTCATGTCTTGCTGTCTTCATTACCTTACGTTTTAATTGCTGGCCTTGCATGGGACAGACAGGTGGTACAAGGTCACAGCAAGAGATGATGGATGCCTTTTGGCCGTGCAGGTCCAGATGACACGTGCTGAAGTCAACCTGTGCAGCACCAATCCGTGCTGCATGTGGGGATCAGCGGGGCACCCACAAGAGCTGACAGCTACAAGCAAACATCTACTTTAGAACCCATTAGAAACCAATAATCAATACTGCTTCAGTTCTTTTAATTTGGCATTTTAACGCACTACGAACCAACTCCAATCAATTTCTGAACAAAAGAATCAACTTCAGGTGCCAACCTTATTTTACATTCCACAAAAATCTTGGGAAGCAGAAGTGTTGGCTTCCCCCCCCCTTCCTTTTTACACATCCAGAGCTTCCTTCATTGTCCCACAGAGGACAACAGCTCTGTGGTTTGGATCCCTGTCGTACACAAGCTTCAGTGTTACCCTTACTCCACCTTTCTACAATTCCTAAATACATACACCCATTGTTGTCATGATACAGGAGGTCTCTTCTCCAATACCTTAGATTTGCTGGGCTTCTTGGTCACAACAGGAGTTACACAAGCCTTGCTGCAAGGAGGGCTACGTTGGGTAGTAGGCACCATCCTGCTCTTTTAGTTACTCAGAGAAGGGACAAGAAATAACGAGGAAAATACCAGGCTAGACCATCAATAATTCAAAGTTGAAGACAGAGCAAATGGGCTATCAAAGCAAAGGCTGAACACGGACATGTTCCTAAGTGTCACATAATTCGGATCCAAGCTTAAGTTTGAGTAACTTTTTCAGCTTTGCAGCACAGAAAAGCCACAGAGTTGTAGTGACACAAGATGTTCTTCTGGTGAGGGTCAATACCATTACGCTCAACTTGTCTCAGGTAGAAAGGCAACTAAGGGGTAAATCCATTAAAATCTCAGCATATAATCAAAATAGAAAAGAAGTTTATTTTGCTAAGAATCAGATGATTATTTGCTCCCAGTAGTTAAACTCACCCTTACTACGAATGCAAAATTAACGTATTTAAAGATTCTTTCTTCTGCAGGAAAGCCAAGCTGGCCCTCCAAGATTTGTCCTGAAAGGCAGAGAGCCTGACTAACTGCAGAGCAGAAGGAAATGCCTCCTATCTCCTCCTCCCCCTGCCTCCCAGATGGCCATTCCTTTCATTTGCTGGGCAGGTTCCTTCCCCACGCACAGCTGTTCCCAACTGCAGCCAAAAATCAAGACGTTGGCACTCATTAGCTCTACTCAGTCCTTTCATCCCGAAGTCAACGGGACACACTTAAAGAGCATAAATGACAGGAGTCGAGTTTAGGCTGAGGTACAGGTGGCTGGGACTGGAGAGGCCATTCAAGCAATTAGTTCCCCACTTACAGTCTTTTTTTTTTTTCCCTCTGGTGAAATACCATTTAGGAGAAATAAATTTTGCAGATTATTGTGTGTCAGTTGAAGAGCGTCACCCTCTACAAATGTCTTGAGGCCATTCCTGTTGTATCAAGCAGGATACCAGCACGACACCCACCTTCCGAGGGAAAATAAAACTATTTAGAGGAGATCCAGAATCAGTTAAGAAAACAGCGTGGGCTACAGGAATTTTATATTATTTTTGCTTAAGAAAGGAACCAATAACTTCAGAATTTTTGAGTCACGGATGTGTTGTGGAAAACTTTTGGGGATAAAGCATAACCACTCTGAAAATAGTTTTGCAGTCATTAGCTGTTCTGCAGGGTGCTCCTTATTTGTTTCCTGTGTAGTATGCACTTCTTGCAGTCTTTTTTTTTTTTTTTTTTTTTAAGGTAAGCTCAAACGAAATTGGGAAGACCCTATTTAAATTCTAGCCACAGAATCTCGCAGGGGTCATCTAACCTCACATACAGTGCTGCAAACAGCAGCAGATGGCTCAGGTGAGGAACGAGGTCCTCCATTGCCTACTGAAC